AGAAAGGGTTTATTTTAGATAACAATCCAGGTTATAGGACATCATTGCATAGAAGTTAAAGAAGCCGCAGGACTTTGAAGCAGCCTGTCTCATCACAACCACAATCAAGAGCAGAGAAAAACATATGGGTGTAAATTCATTTGCTTGCTTGCACTCAGCTGCTTTCCCTTCCCTTGCATAGTCCAGGAAAACAAGTCCATAAATTGGTGCTGCTCACAGTGGGCTGGGTCTTTCTACATCAACTAAGGCAATTAAGAAAATCCCTCATAGGTGTGCCCACAGTTTGACCTGATCTAGTCGATCCCATGGGTGTGCCCACAGTTTGACCTAATCTATTCAATCCCACATGTATGACTACAGTCGGACCTGATCTAATCAACCCCACAGGTGTGCCCACAGTCTGACCTGATCTGGTCAATGCCACACTGAGATTCTCTTCCTAGGTGATCACAGTTGTATCTAGTTGACAGTTAAACCCAACCATCATAGAGATCTACCCACACAAAGTTGCGTGGATAGCAACAGAACAAAAACATGTGCATATGTTGTACTGTTCCACTTTTTAAAGCAATGAGGAATATTCACATAAAAGTATACAAAGTATTTGGAATGAGAAACAAGAAATTACCAAAAGTGTTACCTGTGTGGAGTAGAACTTATAGGGGCTTTGAAAGTTTTACTTTTTAAAATAATGAACACAGGGCTGAAGAGTCAAGAGTAATTGATGTTATCACAGAGAAGCTAAGTTCAGTTCCCAGTACCCATATCAGGTGGCTCTTAACTGGCTGGAACTCCAGCTCCAGGTGATCTGATGCCCTCTTCTAGCCTTCACAGGTCCTGTATGAATGTGGTACACATACATACATGCAGACAAAAGACTCATAAACATAATTAAATCTTAAAAAATAATAATGGTAACAAATGTGTAAATTTAAAAAAAAATCTTCAAAATTTCTATCCCTTCTGAGTGGTATTTATGGCCCAACTTCAGCAACCCTAGTTTGTGTCCTGAGTTCTCCCTTCTATGACTAAATCTTTCAAGCTAAGTTGAATCCAAGTTGTAAATCTGAGTTCTTTTACTAAATTTAAACTGAAAACAGTAAGGCTGTTTAAAATGTAGGCTTATTCACATCATTATCTACTTGTCTTCCTTATATTCCCTCTCCCCTAAATATTCATTTCCATAAGGTTAAATAAACAGTGTAAACTGAAATGTCCTCACCTGTTCAATAGCACCCGCATGTCCAATGTTATAGTCTCGATATCGTCCAAGCATCTCATCCACTTGTTGCAGGTTCCGGCTGGTGTCCTTGAGAAAGAAAATACTCAATCATCCCAAACAATTTTAGTATTCTCAGAGAATCTAAATCAACAGTTTTGAAAAGACACTTTGTAAAAAGTACAATTTATGCCAGGTAACTTGGATATCAACATACTTCATATCAACATACTTCATTTCACATCAAATCACTACAACACTCTGACAGAATTCCAAATCCACCCACAATTTACTTATGTAAATTCTGTAGTATTTAATTTACAAGTCCTTATCCAAGGTCCCCCAGTAAGTTGGCAACAAAAGCACAAATTGAGAGGAATCCTCTTCAGAAATGTGTGTGCTTTGTACTTCACACTGTTCTTACAGCAAAGCAATCTGGAGCATCAAGAGTTAGCAGGGTGGACCATGTGTACAGCAAGCTGGAGGCCAGGAGGGGCTGTGCTGCAAGAGCATAGTGTAAGTATAAGAAAAGGAAGGAGTCAAACGCTAAAATTCCATTGTTACGTTAGCTTAAATGAATTTACAAAGAATAGGTGTTGGTACTCTTTTATAAAATCATTCCTCCCACAATTACTCTTTTCCCTCAAGCATACTAATCCAAAGCAAATCAAAGCCAAATTTCCTGTTTAGATGGGCTAAGGCAAAAGCAAGGGATTAATCAGCTGGAAAGAATTCTGTTTCTGGGTTTGTTTCCCACACTACATATCCTATGACCTTTCCAAGCTCTTCATATGGAAATGAACATACTGCACCCATTCAAACTTCCAAACACTATCAGAAATTTCCTTCAAAACCAAAATGGCATCTCTATACCTATTGGTCATCCACTGATAATCTGCTTCCCCAAAACTCTAATGGGCACAAGTACACAGGAAGCTAAACATCTGTGCTCACCACTGTTTTTACTCCCATAATTTTTTACTTGCAAATACAGTTGCATCCTAAAACACTCTCAACAACCTATCAGATAGTTCAGGTATCATCACCATGGTAACCAGACTAATGGTCCTCACCAACTTCTGAGTCCTAGTTGCTAGAATTATGCCTATGAAACGTATATGTCGAAAGGGATTGTGTAGTTGTGACTAAACACTTAGAGGGGAGTTTCTCCTGGATTACTGAGGGAACGGGATGAAATCACAAGTGTCCTTAAAAGAGGTACGGTGTCTGACACTGTGGCTCGGCGGCAAGAGTACCTGCACAGCATGTGCATGACCTTGGCTTGGAACTCTAATATACCAGAAAACAAAACATCAGCAACAAAAGGAAGAGGGAGACAGAAAGGAGGATATAACCAGCCAAAGAGATGCAACAGATGGAAGATGCACCATGACAGCTAGCTCTGAAGACTGGGAAGAGAATCCCAAGACAAGATACATGACCAGCTACAAAGGGAAAAGGAACAGAATTTTCTTTCTTCTGACCTACAGAACCATGAGATGAAAAACTTGGTTGTTTTAATGCACTTACCTGTAATAACTGAGGGTCAGTTATTACAGTACTAAAATAGAACACTATACTGGCTATACCATTACTTGGCTCAGAGTATTTAATAGCCCGTAAACACTGCCAAACTAACCTGTAAAGTACTGGTTATAGTGTTGACCTTCGCAGTGACATCTACTGTCGGATGACTTCCAGTTTCCCTTTGAACTGTCCTGGTTGCCCATCGACTAAATCGGTTACGATAGCGGAAGTGGTCTGAATCACTGGATGATTCTGCCATTGATGTATACAAATCCTTCAAAAGAAATCCAAGTCAGTGTCAATCAAGTAACAAACAGACATGTGGAGTCCCCTGCTTACTTTCTGGTAGTATTTACTGCGTTAGTCTTCCAGCAAATAGACACACAAGAAAACAGAGAAAGTCACTTCTGGTGTACTGCTGCTGCCATGGCTTGCTCTACTCAGAAAACTAGTCCCACATATCTGCAGTGAGTTATCAACTCCAAGTACCACTTCCTAAGATTTGTGTTCTACTGCCAGGATTAAAAGTACTTTCAGGGTTGGGGATTTAGCTCAGTGGTAGAGCGCTTGCCTAGCAAGCGCAAGGCCCTGGGTTCAGTCCTCAGCTCTGAAAAAAAAAAAGTACTTTCATATATGTTTCACAGCGCTGTCAGCCACTCTATCCATGACAAAACAAAACATCCTCTGAAGATCTACACAGCAAAGGAGGTGACTCAGTTTTGACCTCCACCATCAAAGTAATGCTGGGTAGTTGGGAGCAAAGGATCCCCAGAACAATCTAGCTAGCTAGCCTAATTCGCAAGCTGTGGGTTGAAGCACCCCTACCTCAAAATATAAGGTGCAGAGCAATTGAAGAAAGCATACGATCAAGGGATGTCAACGTCTGCCCTCTGTGTGTACAGTCACGCAGGTGCACACACCCCCACATGTTCACATGCACACACACACACACACACACACACACACACACACACACACACACACGACACACCACATACACATGCAAAAATAAATAAATAAATCCTTCAGTTATTAACCATAGTCCGTTATCCTTTCTAAGCTATAAGAAGTACCTCTAAACATTAAAATATGGCAGATTCCCTGCAGGAACTATAATAAAATTCCAGTGTGTGGCAGAATGAAAACTCTCCTACAGCCTAATTTAAAATTGCAGCATTAAGCAAATGATGTGATGCAGACACAAATTTTACAATAACACATTTATAAGAAGATGCTGGCTTCGACATCTCCACCAAAACAGAAAGCCTACCTTTCAGCAATGGGAAATTCTCTAAACATGCTTTTCTCCCACCTTTACCTCAATTTTGTCTATTTGATTCATACAAAAAATTATTTGTGCAGGAAAAATCTCATTTCAGAACATTATAAATAGAAGTTAGAGAAACCCAATACCTTTAGAACAAAACAGCACCGGAGAAAACTAAGTTGATCAAATGCAAGAGCTTATTGAGTAGTATTCCAATAATTTCATCTTCTGTTTAATGGAGGGTTAACTCAGTCGTTAATACAAACCACTGTAATACTCCTTAAATCTATACAGACATTTTTTTCTGGCTTATTCTGTACAGTGTGATCAAATTTTTCTTTCATGACAGAATATTCTGGGTCTTTTGGACCTTTATTTTTTATTGCATCTTGAAGTGCATAATCATGTCTCTAGAGAAGATAAAGGACCTTTGCCATAAATTTAGATTTTTTTTTTTCAAAATTAAATTACAGTCTGTCTTCGCCACTTCAGAAAAAGAATCCATAATGCAAACTGAGAAAGAGCTACTGAACACCCTGCAAATGCCATGCATCTCTCACATGCCCATGCCCCTCAGCTTCCTCCTATACCAGCTTCTCAGGTCTTTGCCTCCTGGATATAAGCACAAAGGTGCCCATGATGGGCTCCGTCCCACAACAGAAAACATAAACAAGAAATAGTACTGAAAGAACGGTTTGGCTTTGCCCTTCCTGGGTGACAACTGTTTAAGTCCCCGCCCCATCCTCACCCTACACATAAAAAAGAAGTTCCTACAAAGATATCCATGATGGTTAACTCTAAGTGCAAATTTGATTAGATTAATAAATACCTGGGACATTAGAGAAGTTCCGGGTGTGCCTGGAATATTATTTCCAGAAACAATAAGTTTATGAAGACTTCTGACCTAATAGTTAATGGATTAATTTCTTAATAATCTCATAATGACATTGTTGGGATATGGTAAAGGCTAAGAGGGAAGAAGTAGTCGGAGGAAATGGGTGAGTAGAGAATGCCTTTAGTATGGTCCCTTCCTGTATTCCTTCTTTCTCTGCTGCCTGTCCATCAAGAAATGGAGGAGACTGTCCAGCAAAGTGGACTATTTGGGAAAATGGTTAAAATAGTTAGTACAGAGAATAATATAGTAAAGCTGCAAAGACACACCCCTAGAACTAATTATCAGTAATGACAAAAAACAACAGAATGCGCTTGCAACATTTAAAATAAAACATTTAGAAGATTATATTGTAAATATAATCTCAGGACTCTCTCAAATCACCTTCCACTCACTCAGTCTGCCCCAACCCTCCAAGGAAGACAGACAACATGATTTCATGTGGAAACTCTACACCATACATTTATACTTTTAACACTGGCAGAGGTTTCTCAAAGTCTTTTATATGACTTTGCACCATGACTAACATACATTAACAACTGACCGATCAGGATATGTGAATTTAACTCATAACAGAAAATCATAGGAGAATTAGATGAAGTTAAGAGAACATTAAATTACCTGTTACCATGACATGACACAGAAGGAAAAGTCCTATCACTTACCCCAGCTAGGATTACATACTTTCAATAAGATAGAATCAGTTTTTGGCATGAGCTTCCCGGGTGCACTCTAAGTCTTCTGCTATTAATTTCAATTACTTTGAGCAATGAGAGCTGTTCAGACTCCTGCATCTGGTGGAACTCCTGCAGAGGTATCAATATTTAAGAGGATAAGTACTGAGAAATTGCATGGTTTTTCTAAAGCATATGAACATTTGGCAACCCTCTACATACTTTTTATTACCTAAATTTCACAAATAGTGAACTAAAAGAAGAACAGGGTTATATAAATAGATCATTTCATTGCTGATAAAACTTGGCACCTCCTTCCACTATTACTAACGATAAAAAAGGTTAAGAATGACTCCCATAGCAAACATGAGTGGAAGCCTAACTCTCAGTGCTATAACACAGAAAACAGCTTTGTGCCAACGATACAATATTACCAAAAGACAATAATCTATCATGGGCCAAAAAAAAAAAAAAAAAAAAATTCTCTAGACATGGAATTGATGGGGAAAGAGGAAAACCCTCACCACTGAAGTTGGCAAGAGGTGTGCACATATGTCAAAAGCAAGGGTAGACAGTAGACATGCTAACACAGACAAAGGAAATCGCACCTGTGCCAACTCAGGCAAAACCCTACAAGGCATGCTGAAACTAGGAAACGTAGTCTTCACCCAGGGAGGAGCCCCCAATCGGTTATCCAATACCAAGTGGTCGGCACTGAAATCACGAACATGCAAACAACACTGAATGGACTCAGTAGGCTACTGGGGTGTGTGTGTGTGTGTGTGTGTGTGTGTGTGTGTGTACACCTGTGTGTGTCTTTGTATGTCTCTCTGTGTGTGTAACAATAGCAAAGAGGAGGAAACCATGAACTTGAGAGGGAGGGAGTGGGGTGAGCAGGACATGAGAGGACCTAGAAGAAGGAAAGGGGATAGGGAATGGAGGGAAATGATGTGATTTTATTTTAGTAACATTTCTTTAAAGCTAGGATGGATGTATAGTGGCCATGAAAACAGTTCTAGACCCCAAAGAGAAAAGCACAAAGCAATGGCAATTATACGCTCTGTATTCATCATTAACAATATATTATTTTATGCTACAGTTTAAACATAGCTTTTAAGTGTGCTATATCTTAAGATCACTGGCATTAAAGACAATTTACTCCAAAAAAAACTTTCTCCTTGGTGAAACTAGCTAATGTGTAAGAGTCAGAATCATCTTATCTTGACAAATACACTAAGAATGGTCACAAAAGAAAACAAATATGCAGATCCAAGAAAAAAAATTTTAATTAAACCAAGAGGATGCCTTCCCGTCCTGCTGTTTCCATACATAGTAATGTCTGTGGAGCTGGGTTTCAGGAGAAAGCACTCCTAAACTTGTCTAATGGGAATGTGCAAATTGATACAGCCTGTCTGGCTGTTAACAGGGAACTATCTGCCAAGAACTGTTTGCACCTTTGATCAAGTAATTATACATCCAAAAACGACCCCTAAACAAAACTCAACTGAAAATCTGCATATAAAGATATTTACTGTGAAGGTATGTTAAGGAGAAAATGAAAATGATGTGAATTTCAAAATAAAAGAGAATGGCTCAAACACAGAACATCCAATGGGACAGCTGTTACTATACAATGGGACTCTACAATGGGACAGCAAACAGCCGTTAAAAATTCTGTTTCCCAACTAACTTGGGCTCACAGACCTCACAGAGTCTCACAGAGACTGAACGGACAACCAGAGACTGGGACTTCCTGGGACTGACCCAGGCCTTGTGCATATATGTCACAGTTGTGTAACTTGGTCTTTGGTGAGACTCCTAAGGGTGAAAGCAGGGGCTCTCTGGCTGTGCTACCTGCTTTTGGGACCCATCTCCCCTACCGGATTGCCTCACTCAACCTTAAGAGAAGAGAATGCGCCTAGTCTCACTGCAACCTGAGACACCATGGTGGTCTGGTATGCATGGGAGGCCGGCCTGTATCTGAAGAGAAACAATAGAGAAGGCATGGACTGGGGGGGGGGGGTGACAACACAAATAAGAAGAAAAAGAGGAGGAAAAGGAGGAGGAGGAAGGAAGGAAGGAAGCAAAGAAGGAAGATTGGTTCTGGTTCCAAAGAAAAATTAGTGAAAAGCAAGGGAAAAGTATGAGTTTCAGTTTTGTAATAAATGTTCTGTTTTCTGGGTATGTACACAAAATTACCAGAATGTAAATTTCGAAGCACAGGAATGGGAGGGCTAATAAGGGAACAAATTACTCTCCCACAGTATATTTACTCTCAGAAGTTTATTGCCAATTGGTATTCTTCTAAACTTCTATTCTCTTATCTTTTATGAATTCTCAATTATGAACTTGTTAATAAATAATCAGAAGGAAATATAAATATATACTTCAAAAGAACTATAAAGACCCCCTTCAAAGACAGCAGACTAAGAAGCCGACAACATGGAAAGGAATTCAACATCCTACATCCTCAGAGCTCTCTTTTCCTTGGTGCTTGCTTCCTTTTCATGCTTGACAACTTCCTGACCTCACCTCCTAGTTCCTGGAACCTTCCCAGGTCAGACCACTTCATTAGCTCTCACCGAGGGATGAGCAAGAGGCCCCGTTCACAGGGGCTGCCTCTACATTCCACCCCAGCTCCAGAACCACTTACCCTGAACTTGTGAGCTAAAAGAAACTTTTTCATGCTGTATATCCCTTTGTAGTTTCGCTGAAGGTCGGTTATTTTAAAAACTGGCTTACAATCCAAAGCCAGAATGAACACACATATCAAAGCCCTGTGTGAAAACATGCATATGGACAGACATGGCTTATTGCGATCAAATACTGCTTTGGAGGACAAATTAAGAATGGTTCCCGGGTGACACACAGTCAATATTGCAATCTGATACTCAAAGAAACACTAACACAAGTAGAAAAACATCTGCGTGGGTCCAGGGCAAGTTTTCGGTGTTGTTTTAAAAATGCAAAGGGAAAAAATTTAGTTGAATGAAAAATCCATTTTCATCATTATAAGAAATTTTACCATGATACACGATGGCAGAAAAAAAAACGAACGGTCAAATGTGAAGAACAACTTAAGGAAACTGAGTCACCGAAATTCTGGCTGAGGGTGAGAAAAGCCTGTCCTTCAGGAAAAACAGAATTACTCTTCTGCACCTCACCACCACCTTCCTGTGCAACAAAACTGCTCTCCAACAAGAAACTAGCATTTGCTTTTCAAACGCAAGCATGTCCAAGTCTCAAAAGAGGACGGAGATGGGTGACCTTGGGTAAGAGTCTATAAAATCGTAGAGAAAGCTGTGTTTGAATAGCTCCTGGCACAGTTCTTAGAATAGTTTATTTAGCTGCTCCCAACACATCGATACTTAAAGATATAAATATCATTGTTTCTGCCTTAATGAGCCTTATAAAGAAGACATACAACCGCCGAGCAAGCAATGAACCCTTGTCAATTCATGCTATCTAAACAAACGTCCATATGCAGTCCTGGACACTGGGACCAGAGAGAGAAGACCGCATTCAAGCCTTGCAATAAGAGGATTGAAGCGAGCCTTTAAAAACTCAAGTCCGCCTGCCCCTTTTGTTATTTGACCTAAAGAGCCATCAGACTGTCTTCATTGAAATGAGGCCCATTTGTATGTATGAGAGCTGTGATTTATTGATTCTCAAATCTCTTTTCCTCAGAGTCAGTTTAAAACAATTAGGTTTTGCAAGCTGTTCCATAAAAGATAAGCACTCAGCATCAGGGGTGATATTTCACAAAGACTGAGTAGTGCATGGTAAGTGGGTGATTGCCTCTATAGCCTCCGTGTGCCTCAGCTGTCCCTATCCAAGGCAACTGTCCTCAAAGAAGATGTTCAAGGTAATGACATTGATATTAAACAGGGAAATGTGGTTTAAACTTAATCATCAACCAAATTCAATTTTCATAATGTACTTCTCCCTGTCTCAACAGACGTACAACCTGGGGGTGCAGCTCACCCTGCAGGTGAAAAAGTCACCAAGTCAGCCAAGGTTGCCATGTACAAACAACTGTCAGTTAGGTATGCCTTTTTTCTTTACATCAATGCTCTTCTGTAACTTCACCTCCAGTAAAGTTACACAAGATCAAAATCAACAGTCAGTCCATCCTATCCGCCAGTTCCCACATATGCAGGACAGCAAGGGACTCCATAAGCCTCTGGGCCAGAGGTACTCACACCAGGCTCATTCATTCACCCTTTACTGAATCGTTACTACATTGCAAATGGAAGATAACCCAAGGATGGCAGTCTACAACTGTCACCACAGAATTCAGGAGACAAAGACGAGGCTCCAAAGTCCAAGGCCTATCTGAGCAACGCAGCAAGACTCTGTCTCAAACCACTGAGAGCTGGGGATGTGGCTCAGTGGTTGAGTACTTACCTAACAAGTACAAAGCCCTAGGTTCGATCCCCAGCATGGCCAAGAGAGAGATATCAAAGAAGAAATTAAGTATGTCATAGTCCCTGGTGAGAAAGACTGGCAAGAATACCACATAAGAGAGATGAGCAGTAAGACAGGAGTCAGGTCAGAATCCTTCCCTCAACATGGAGCAGAAGCAGGACACGCAGCTAATACAAGGAAATGGGGTGCGGTCAAACTGTCTCAGAGAAACTAGAGAGGGTTCCGACCCACAGAGCTCCCATCCGTGTACCAGGGCAGCTCTGCCATCGTCGGATTTGCATGTTGTGGACGGATGAATTTTTTTCTTTTAAGAATTCTAATACTGAGGCTGGAGAAACGGCTCACCACTTAAAAAGCACTCAGTGCTCTTGCAGAGGACCTGAGCGTGGTTCCCAGAACATACAGCAAGTAGCTCACAACAACCTGTAACTCCACCTCCATGGAACAGGATGCCTCAGGCCTCCACAGGTCCCTGCGTTCATGTGCGCGTACCCACACACAACTACACATAATCAAATAATTTTTTAAATCCTTTTTTAAAAGAATTTGAATTTAAAAGAATTCTAAATTAAAAGCAAGCATTTAAATGCCAGTTCTGGAAGGGAGGAGAAAAGAATCTTGAGGAGTGACATGATAACAAGCATATCCACAGAGAAGTTTCCAGAGAGGCTACCACAGTCTCTTAGGTAAGCAGCTAAGGCAAC